CTATTGTTTGGTAGTATCATCTTGTTGTAATGGTTTCTATTGTTTGGCAGTATCATCTTGTTGTAATGGTTTCTATTGTTTGGTAGTATCATCTTGTTGTAATGGTTTTTATTGTTTGCTAGTTTCTTTTGGATTATTCAGTAAAAAACAACAACAAAAGACAAAAACAATGCTCAGTCTACTTAATGACAACGAAAGCGTTTTATTTCCTGAACTTCAAGTTCTACAAGTTAGCTTTACTAATTAATATTCATCGATAGGTCTAAGTTCACAGTAGACGCTAATACAAATATTTCACTTACTTCACAAAACTAAACTGTCTTAGAGTACCAGATAAACTGACTAACACGCTCAACAATCAACTGATTTGACTCACTAACTTAAGCAGTCATCAATTCTCTACTCTAGCCAAAATTACATTTTACACAGCTAAATTTTTACTAAACTTTTAAGAATGTTCTAGTCATTAAGCCGCACCCATCACGTGATGCCAAACCTCCACAAAGAACAATGCAACGTTTAAGTGAAACAAACAAACAAAAAACAGCCTACAACAATATCAAATTAACGAGAAAGATGTGAAATTAAAAACAAAAAAAAACATTTGTGAGCTTTTAGGAATAAACGAAAGGCAACCCACTTGTTCCTCTTGTTCTTTTTTATTATTTTCTAATATCAATATTTGGTTGCTCGAATCTTCTAGAGAAAGATTAAGCCTTTCCTGTTCTTTGACCAATTCTTGGATTCGACGTTCCAATTCACTTTTTTCCTCCATTAACATGTCGATCTGAGAGTAAATATTTCCAAACATTAAAACTGAAGGGAGGTCCAGCCTCACTGATCACGTGTCTCAACTGGAAGGAATCAGAGAGAAGGTACGTTACTTTCTAACAAGTGTTCCGCAAGATTTCAATTCCTACAGAAAGTAAAGAGAATACTGTAAGAGGTTTCTATAGAATTTTCGATATGTATTTGTGTAGATGATGTATGAATCGCCAAGTACAGATGTGATGAGTATTTCTATTTTTCAATTAACTCCATTCATCATTCATGTTTTGTTTTTCTCGCTTTTTTAGTTAGTTAAACTTTAAAATGTATTAAAGGTATCTATTATACACGTTCTATTGTTCGTGAAATGTTTCTTTTTGTATGTGTTTACTCCCAGTGATCCATTTGTATCAGAACTCTGAAAATTAAATCTTTAGTATCGCCATCTTTTGATAAGTTTTGAAATTAATATTACTGAATCCTTTTAATGGTGTTTAGAATATTTACTACGTGTTTTATTGTTAGACTTCTGCTGATTCACTGTAGGCAAAGTGTTGAATCATATTTCCTTTTGGATTATGAAACCTTCTTCCTTAAGCTTAATAATAATAAAAAAAATACTTTATTTTGTAGACTACCAAGTCAGAGGAACTACTCTCTAACCAAGTGAAGTCATTGCGCCAACAGTTTAATCGCCCTTGTAGGTACAATCTTGCCATCTGTAAAAATTGATAATCTGCGTCCGGTGCTTTGAAGTGCAAGTTGAAAATATATTTATGAAATGGGGTAAGGAGGTATCAGTCAAAGTAGAACTTCGTTTGAAATATTCATGGCGGAAAGTAAAGCGAATAGAAATAAAAGTCAGCGCCCTGGTACACATTCGACTGTGTAATTAATTTTTTTAAAGCGAGTTCCGTATACATATAAGGCTGTCTTACAGGCTGAAAAACTATTTTCAACATTAGCTACTAGAGGCCGCTGCTCAATAGAACCCGTAGCTAATGATTTGTTTTGTTTTTGAATGTCGCGCAAAGCTACACGAGGGCTATCTGCGCTAGCCGTCCCTAATTTAGCAGTGTAAGACTAGAGGGAAGGCAGCTAGTCATCACCACCCACCGCCAACTCTTGGGCTACTCTTTTTACTAACGAATAGTGGGATTGACCGTCACATTATAACGCCCCCACGGCTGAAAGGACGAGCATGTTTGGTGGGATGAGAATTCGAACCCGCGACCTTCTGATTGCGAGTCGAGCACCCTAACCACCTGGCCATGCCGGGCCCCGTAGCTAATGAGGGATTTTTTGTGAAGAGTTTATTTATTGTTGAGCGCAAAGGTACTACTCACAATGGGTTATTTGTGCTGTGCCCACAGGTATCGAAACCCGATTTTTAGCGTCATAAGCCCTCAGACTTATTGGTGGGCTACTGGGGGGTCTTTGATGAAGGGGAAAAAAACTCGTTCCTCTAATGGAAGTCTTTAAAAATGAAAGAAAAAAATTAGATTAATTGGATTTTGTCGAAAGTTTCTATAAAATGGCAGAGTTTGATGGTTTCTGTTATATTGACAGTCGAGAGTAAAAAGTAAAATAAAAATATCAGATACGAAAACAAATGCAGTATGACAAAACCGTGTGTGTGTGTGTGAGAGACAGTGGCAGCCATATTTAGCTCTACATTGAAGTTACGTTTTCACGATACTATGAAACATACAATACTACGAAAAACACGATACTCTGTTTGTTAAACACATATCAATGCCCCCCCCCCTCCTCAGTGGCACAGCGGTATGTCTGCAGACTTACAACGCTAGAATCCGGGTTTTGATACCCATGGTGGGCAGAGCACATATGGCCCATTGTGTAGCCTTGTGCTTAACTACAGGACAAACAAACACACATCAATGTGTGATTCGTTCTAAATAATTTTACTTCTGATAAACACAGTTCTTAATAAAATCTACAGATTACTTTATGGTCATTATTAAATAAATACTTAGAGAGTACGAAAGGGAATGGGGAGGAATAATTTGGGGGTAGGGGTTGGGTTTTATGACCGCTATACTTTGCTAAGATGTGTGAAATTTACAACAGTACCTGGTTTAAAACCTCGGTCAGCCGCTGGTTCTCGTCTTGTAATTCCTGAACGATTTGGTACTTCTCCATTTCAGTAGATTTGATAAACTTCTTATGTTCGTCTAATTCCTTTCGGAGTTCGTTCAATTCCGTCTGGAGGTCGGCAACTCGGGTGTCGTATTCTCCTTCCAAAGCATCAAGCTTCCTTCTGAGCGAATATTTCTCTTGTTCTAATTCCTGATGTGTTAAAAAATAACGACAGTAAAACAGTGGTTTTTTAAATTACTCGTTTTAACGTTATTACCAAGCACTCAAATATGTACGAAAATACAGTGTAGAAAGAGTTCGTTTTATAGGTTTCGGAACTTTTAATAGTTTGTTTGTTTGTTTTTGAATTTCGCGCAAATCTACATGAGGGCTATCTGCGCTAGCCGTCCCTAATTTAGCAGTGTAAGACTAGAGGGAAGGCAGCTAGTCATCACCACCCACCGCCAACTCTTGGGCTACTCTTTTACCAACGAACAGTGGGATTGACCGTCACATTATAACGCCCCCACGGCTGAAAGGGCGAACATGTTTGGTGGGACGGGGATTCGAACCCGCGACCCTCAGATTGCGAGTCGAGCGCCTTATCCACCTGGCCATACCAGGCACTTTTAATAGTAACTTCTACTCAATACAAGACTAAAACCAAAACCTTGATATAGCGCTAGTGAAAACAAAAACTTATAACTAGTACTAACCCATTAGACACAACAGCGGGGGCATGTCCTCTTCAGATTTCAGGCACTCGTGTCGAACTTTCTAGACGCATAGACTAGCTATCGAGGTTTCATTATGCGGGAACAGCGGTAAGTCTACGGAATTACGATGCTAAAATCCGGGGTTCGATTCCCCGCGGCAGACACAGCAGATAGCCCAATGTGGTTTTGCTATAAAACAATCAAACAAGCTTTCTGCGGCTGAAAAGTTTGTTTAAGAAATGTTTTGGCGATTTGCATAACGCGCAAATACACATGAGTGTACCGTATTGCCCCTAATTAACGCCCCGCGGTATTTTTATAAAGCTTACCTTGTGTGACAGCAATAGTAATTCAACATATAATCCACTTTTGTTACCGTAATTTTGACTTGAAGAAATAAGAAGAAAAACAAACACAGACACACACACACTTATTAGCATTGAAATCAGCCAATCACATGTGGGCCCGGCATGGCCAGGTAGTTAGGGCGCTCGACTCGCAATCTGAGGGTCGCGGGTTCGAATCCCCGTCCCACCAAACTTTCTCGCCCTTTCAGCCGTGGGGGCGTTATAATTTGACGGTCAATTCGTTGGTAAAAGAGTAGCCCAAGAGTTGGCGGTGGGTGGTGATGACTAGCTGCCTTCCCTCTAGTCTTACACTGCTAAATTAGGGACGGCTAGCGCAGATAGCCCTCGTGTAGCTTTGCGCGAAATTCAAAACAAACAAACAAACAATCAATGTGAAAGATAGAATCCGGAATTACAAATACTATAATTAGCACCCCCACCCCCCCTATGCAGTTTGCAATGCCCCCATACTTGCGTCGGTAGAGCAGCAAAGAGTTGTTGATTTTATTGGAAATCAAACCGGTGTTTTCAATTGCTGTGTGCACTCAATGTTTGCGAGTTTTGTCATGAACTGTTTTTTTTTTTTAGAAGGTGAAATATTTATTGATTACTTGCAGCACTCATCCGACGTTGGATTTACTCATTCAAATAACGAATGTGCACGCGCTGAAAATATTTTAAAATAACCCGGGTATTAGTGTATCGTTATTCGGGTTAGTTGAAGTTAACACTAACAGAAACAAAACCAAAACAAGTTCCTAGGCTGTAAGAATATCTAATTACTGCACAAACACTAGTTTTACAGCAGTGGACCAACATGAAAAAGAAAACGACTCGAAAACTAACCAACTTTTAATTTGTATTTCATGTGGCAATACCACCCTAGCTTTAGTTATGCGGAATGTAATAAAAGAGAAATAAAACATTAGTAAATGTTTTTTGTAGAATAATAATAGAACGTAAAATGTGTTTAAATTAGGGTTAATTCACAGAATGTCCTATGATAAAAAAAACAAAAAAAAACATAATTCGGCACACAGAGCTTTATAAAAATTCATGTTCCCCCTACATTTCAGCCGTGGTTGCGCCTATGTGAAACAAAAACCTTTAAATGATACTGGTTTGGTTGTTGTTAAGCGCATATCTCAACAATGGACTGTTTGTGTTCTGCCCTCCACGGGTACTGAAATCCGTTTTTTAGCGTCGTAAGTCCACAGATTTACCGCTGAGGGGGAGTGGACACTTAATACTGTCATAGGTAATGTTTTAATATTTTAATTTAGGGGGGAATTTTGGTACGACGTAGTGATGCGGTGTGACGTCTAGAGATTTCCAAAGTGTCTAGATTTGACCTGACCTCTCAAATTTCGTGAAATTTAGAGAAAAATAAATAATGTAATTTAAAAATACCGGTGCTTTAGTTAGTGAATTACTTAGCCTATTTCAATTTTGGTTAGTCTTATTGAGAAGTTTCTGTTTTGGTTAGTCTTATTGAAAAGTTTCTGTTTTGGTTAGTCTTATTGAAAAGTTTCTGTTTTGGTTAGTCTTATACGAAAGTTTCTGTTTTGGTTAGTCTTATTGAAAAGTTTCTGTTTTGGTTAGTCTTATACGAAAGTTTCTGTTTTGGTTAGTCTTATTGAAAAGTTTCTGTTTTGGTTAGTCTTATACGAAAGTTTCTGTTTTGGTTAGTCTTATTGAAAGTTTCTGTTTTGGTTAGTCTTATACGAAAGTTTCTGTTTTGGTTAGTCTTATACGAAAGTTTCTGTTTTGGTTAGTCTTATAGAAAAGTTTCTGTTTTGGTTAGTCTTATAGAACATTTTCATTTTTGGTTAGTCTTATAGAAAAGTTTCTGTTCTGGTTAGTTTTATAGAACATTTTCATTTTTGGTTAGTTTTATAGAACATTTTCATTTTTGGTTAGTTTTATAGAAAATTTTCATTTCTGGTTATTTTATAGAAAATTTTCATTTCTGGTTAGTTTTATAGAACATTTTCATTTTTGGTTAGTCTTATAGAAAAGTTTCTGTTCTGGTTAGTTTTATAGAAAATTTTCATTTCGGGTTAGTCTTATAGAAAAGTTTAATTTTGGTGTTAATCTTATACAAAAATTTCTGTTTTGATTAGTCAAATACGAAAGTTTCGGTTTGTATTATTAGAATGTGAGTCAGCAAATTTTTTAATTAGTGAGTCAGCTACTCAATCAGTGAAATAGTTAGTAAGTCAGTTCAACGCTATATATTATGGATTTATGTTTCAACAAAGAGAGAGAGCATGTAAGTAAGTGACTATTTATATTTATTTAGGAGTAGGCCTATCGGTGAGCGATTGAAGAAATATATCGCTTTCGTTATCGTTAAGTGTACTGGATTAATTTTATCAATAATCAAAAGGAGCATAACCATGATAGAAACCTTTACAACAGTTACTAACAATAACAGAAAGTTTTATGTAATACTAACTACAAAATCGACGATAATAATTTGATAAAATTTTCAACTAAGCTCTTGAACCAAAGCCTTTTCAAAATTTAAAGAACTTATAATTGGAAACGTAAAGTTTAAGAAAACTAATGTATAATCTATCCAAGAAAATATAGGGGCACGGAGGATTAAAAACAGCAACATCAGTTCATGTGTTTTCAACGAGTATTCACTAAAATATATCGCAAAGAAACGATTATTAATACATTTAGAAAGGATTAGGATTTCACCAACTTGAATTAACAACTCACGATAAACAGATAGATTTTATAATGAATTTAGTACCTTTTTTCGTTTCTTCAAAATTTTCGGGTAAAGCTACACGAGGGCTATCTGTGCATAGCCTTCTATAATTTCGAAAGCATACACTCCACTGTAGAGATTTTCGTTTGTTTGATGTTAAGCACAAAGTTACAGAATGGACTATCTGTGCTGTGCCCACCACGGGTATCGAAACCCGATTTTTAGTGTTATAAGCCTTCAGACTTTCCACTGAGCCACTGGGCGGGGGGGACTATAAGGAAGGCAACAAGTCAACAACACTATAACCGGATTATCCATTGGGTCCACGCCCATGTCCTAAGGGGGGTGGGATCCATAAAATACGATCTGTGTGCTTCACTACATTTTTGTAAGTCGAGTTTTATAATCTAAGTGAATTTGTCAAAAATCAAGCTGTAGAAATTATATAAATTATCATATTTACAGTTTAATTTATTTTTTTACTATTTTTTGTGAAAAGGGTAGTTAACCCCACCCCCTCCATTCGAAAACGCGCGTAATTAGCACAGTGCATTTCTTTCTCTTTTTTTTTGTTTCATTATGCATATATAACTATCGTTTCAGAGAAACTTTTGTCTATCATCGCCAACCCCAACTAACGAGTTCTGGTATTGTACGAAAGGTCTCTTAGGCAGTGATTCATGAGAGACAAGACCCGGCATGGTCAGGTGGTTAGGGCACTCGACTCGCAATCTGGGGGGTCGCGGGTTCGAATTCCCGTCCCATCAAACATGCTCACCCTTTCAGGCGTGGGGGTGTTAAAATGTGACTGTCAATCCCACTATTCGTTGGTAAAAGAGTAGTCCAAGAGTTGGCGGTAGGAGTGATGACTAGCTGCCTTCCCTCTAGTCTTACACGACTAAATTAGGGACGGCTAGCGCAGATAGCCCTCGTGTAGCTTTGCGCGAAATTAAAAAACAAAACAAACGTGAGAGACAAAAGATAGACCCGAAAAGCTGTTATTTTACACGCCTCTGATAATTTAAATCTGAAATTTGAAATTCTCAAACTAAGAGAAATATGGGGGAAAATTTAACCTAATTTATTTCAATGTTTCTATCTCGGTTTCAACATTTGAATTTTCAAATCGGTGAGTTTGTTGTGAATTCGATAGTTGACAAAGGTCGTAATTCAAAATGTACATGGTGGTGTTGGGGATCAATTTATTCAGGCTCAGGGGCGCATGCTTGGTTAATTCGACACTGTATAACACGCATGTCGTTATCACTGACCGAATAATGGTATTTGATTGTCACTCTTATACCGGCAACGGGACGAAAACCCAGAAACCTTGGATTCACGGTCTGGGCATGCGAACCATAAAGCCACGCCCAGCCTAATTTGGTAGCTAGAAATAGAGCGTCGAAGAGGTAAGATAAAATAATT